TTTGTGGACCGTCCATCCATGGACCCAGAGATCCGGGTTATTGCGAGGGATGACTGTATAGTATAGGACCTATATATGTAATAAATCATAAATGACTAGTCTGCAATCGTGACACTTATTAGTGTCGCGGCATTAGCGCTGGAGACCCGGGAACCAGGCTGTGTTTTGTCCCAGATCCAAAGAAAGCAAATGGCGGATTGAAACAGACGAGTAGGCGATATTGCATTTGATGAAATTATTTCGAAGTTTTGTGATTCTCCTATATACCTAGAAACACAGGCACGACTAAAGATTTACACAGCAAAGGTATGTTGTCATACGTATATCATACGTCGTCGGACATGACGACATTATAGTTGTATGCTTCTCTCGAGGGTACGATGTACGTCATCTGTGGGATGACTCCACGCGCTGCTACATACTCCCCAGTCAACAGAAGGAGGCGTCCCGAGCCGCATAGTTAGTACTGAGACTTATTTTGCTCAAATTTCATATGAACGTGCTCAGCCCCACGTTGGGCGCCAATGTAGCGGCCATAAAATTCGAACCACGGACCTTCTGATCAGAAGTCGGACGCCTTGTCCACATGACCAAAGAGGTTAACCCCCGTCAGCAAGCTGACAAGGTAAGGATGTCATCTGTGGGATGACTCCACGCCCTGCTACATACGCATCATCAGCACTACCCTCCGAACAAACGTGTGGCCGCCCTTCGGTAAACATCGACCCTGTCCGAAAATCTCGGAATGACTCGGAACACAAAACGGCTCTCATTCATTGGTCAATTTCCACGTGTGCGATTATTGCGGAATGTTGTTTTGACAGTTGATATGTTTGGAGTAAAATTATTTTAGGCGTTAAATGCAATAAAATAGTACACACAATGCATACAGCATGAAAATCTAACAGCCTTATAAAAAATATCAAGCATGCAAAGCGGAAAATATTTAACTTCTGTAAATTCATGGTTTGTTTTTAGATTATAAATGTCATATTCATTTTTCAGTTATATCCAATGACTTCAAATCACAATTCATTGTGATTGTTGATTTAACATTCAATATTTCATACAGTTTCCACAGTATAATACAGCACACACTCACAAACAGTTCAAATGTTGATATTTTTATTCAATAATACATTTCACCAAAACAGATAATTCAAAATCGTCCAGGTATATTAACTTCTGAAATATGATGATAATAATATACTTTAAATCACATCTTAACAATCTCTTGAAAAAGATAATATCCTATGAAAATTGACTTTAAGAATAATCAAATGCTGACACTTTCATGTTGGCAATGTATGATCATTTAAATTGTCCCTTGTATAGTACAATTTCTAAAATTTGAAAAACACTTATAGAAATACTTGTGACTCAAGTTTAGTCAAAGACCTCAAGCATTATCAACAATGAAACCGTTAAATATCAATTCTCAATCTCATGTAGCGAGTCGGTCATATATGAATTAAATTTCAACTTCTTAATCATTCCTGTATTAACTTACCCCTATAGTGACACATGCACATACCTGACTGTTGGTGAATCTGGAAACAAAAAATTATTCTGAGCTTTATCCAATCTTAAAAATACTTTTGATGGTACTAATATAAGAAACTACTGTCCCCCAACCTTCTAACCCCTTACCAGGGAATGATAGTGGATATGAAGATATCTTTTCATTTATAGTTTTCCCAATTATATTTGTTCCTATTTGTTCCTGGATAAACCCTATGGGTGGTCTCAAAATTAATAAAACAATCAAATACATTTTTTGTAATCTATCAATGCATTTCATTGTCCATAATGATAGATTACACAATTACAATTATCAAAACAGAATCTTTACTTACATATTTATTTCCCATTTCTCTAAAACTCTTAATTTGTCATGAATATATCATAACTCCAAGAGTTCTAATATTATTGCTAGTATTGTTGTACATGAGATGACAAATGATGGTTGAAAAAAGAGTAGAGTTTATCCACACACAAAAAATTGCATTGGGTGATTGCAAACAATTGTGAAATATTATGAATTCTTTAAGGTGAAACAAATTTATCCACATTTCTGGAAGACTTTCACAAACATCAAAATTAAACTACATTTATATTTAAACCATTCACAATCAGATGTAGTTTACAGTTAATCCATATACAAAATCAATTTGTTGGAGTAACCCAGAACATTGATGTCTTTTTAATATGAAAGTTTTGTGTTTACAATAACAAATATTTTCAATATACACATATTTGGGTTACCTCTGCATTATGTGTGGCTGATGTTTGTTATGAAATCCTTATGCATTGCCAATTATGTCATTGTGAAATTTTATACACTTTAAATATTATACATTCATACTTCGTACCCCCAATTCTAACTTTGGGATTTTTGGTTCTATGTTATGAAAACATGATGTTCCAAAATGAGTATATGCAATGTAAGAAAAAACAAAACACGTGCGTAGCCTTGCCCATCTGACAGTACATTTTCCGTATGTATACCGAAGAATGTAAAATTGACTGACATTTTAAGCGAAAGATATAAACGTGTCATAACTCGTTGAAGGCACAAATGTATACATGTCTATATAACGCACACTATTTATATGGAGGAAATAAGCTTGATAATAATAATAAAAAATAACAGAGAAATACATGTGAAACGATGGAGCGTAACCCCATCGATATTAGCGGCTGCCAGCCCAGTTGTCGCTGTAGTCCTCACTCCTTTTCCTTTCCTCAATAATTCCTCTCTGATCTGGCGCATTAAGGTGGTCTTGCCTGTGCCCGCTTGGCCCAAAATCAACAGATTATGACCATCGATGGCCCCTCTTACTGCCATGTTTGCTTTTGTTGTTGTCCACATACACGTGGAAATTGACCAATGAGAGCCGTTTTGTGTTCCGAGTAGTAGCATATAAGTAATCAGTTCCGGACAGACAATAGCATTCCCAAGGAGAACAATAGCATTCCTAAGGAGAACAATAACATTTCAGGGGAGAACAATAGCATTTTTCAAGGAGCGCTCCTACATACCGAAGGAGCTTTCAGAAGCACATTCCATAAATTCCAGGAGCTGTCCTTTGAACCTATTCCATGACATCTTTATATAACGAGATCACTCATGCTGATTGGAATATGTATTGAAATGTAATGAATAGGAACCAAGCAAATTAAGCAAATTTATTAGGATATTGCTATTAAATTTGAAATGGGTGGAATGTTGCTTATGTCTATAAATTCATAGCTGATTCTAACCGCTTTCAATATGTAATATGTTCATTAAGTAGTACATCTTATTTGTTAACATTTGTAAGCATGCATCACTTCTTACATTATATACCATCAGAATTCCAAGGTAGAAATGTAGCAGTCTATATTTAGCCTGTTTGCTGATTCTATTTCCTTTTATATGTAATATCAATGTTCAAACCCTAAATGTACATATAGCTTCTTTGGAAATAAAATATTGTTTAAATCAAATGGTTTGAAAAGAAGTACAAACATATGTAAATATGAATGGAAGGTTTAGCCTGGTGAGTCACGCAGATTGGAATGTCAGTTGCTGAAATTGAAAATATTCACCCAAATGCAACCGTCCACGTTAAAGTGGGGTCGAAAGTTGGTCATCTCGCCTCAAAGTTGTGTTTTGGCGCTACACTCTAGCGGATCGCAATTTTTTCAATCTAAGATATACTACCCATCAAAAAGCTTAAACTCACTAGTGAAAATTAAGTAAAAATAAAGGTTAATGGTACCTGTGGCAAAGATTAATTATTTACAAAACCCTGCAAGATATCATTACACAGCCAACTTACATGAATTCGATATGGGTCATGCTTCCACAAAACAAGGTCATTTCCGTAATTCTGCAACAATGCTACACTACCATTTGAAGTGAACTTTTTTGGTTAAAGTAAACAGAAAGGCATTTTGCTTATTCGTTATGTAAACTTATGACCGCGATTTTTCGGCGTCTTGTTTTAAGTACCTACGATCATTTCCAATCCTAATCAGTAAATAACGGGAATTTCAATACTTATCTCGTGAAGTTAGCATGCCTTTATTAATTTACTTAATTTTTACTAGTGAGTCTAAACTTTGATGGATAGTATATGTGCAAACGAACCGCTTTCTTTTGTAGGTTACAGTTGACTTACCTTGATATTTTCCTAAAAAACATCACGACAGTACTCCACCCATACCAACACAATAAGTAATCGCGATGACGCACGTCACGTTTTGCACTCTAATCAAGTCTTTGTATGAATTATTTCAATGACATCAAATTTCTCCCTCACGACTTTGGGGAGTGGAAAAATTTTGCGTCGTGGAAATATCTCACATCTTCACACGACTTGCACTTTCTTCTGTGAGCTTGTCACGTGAATACACATTCCTTTCTGTGTCAGCACTTCCCTATTTGGAAATGGCTACTACGTTTTTATACTATCCATTGTTTTGCTTTTTAATGAAGGCTCAGATGACTGAATGTATCAGTGCATGAGAACAATACACCCAACCATGAGTTGGCTGACTTGTTACGTCATGCATATCTTTAGCTATTAATGAGTTACATACATACTACATAACCTCACACTGAAAACACATGAAACTAAATTTGACCTCAGTTTAATATAAAGGTTGTATAGTTGATGAAGTATCAATAAAATATTTTGTGGCACAACCATTGGAATACAATGCAATAATCAGATAATAGTGGAAAGAGGTCATATGGTATACTTTCTTATTTGTCTGCAAACAAAAAGTTTGCAAATCTTGATCGTGACATTTTTAATAGAATATGCGTACTGAAACTTCAAAGGAATTGTAAGTCATGATATTGTGTAATATAAATCGTGACATTTTCTAAATAGCGTCTACCATTAAACATTCAAAATAAAGTGGTAAAACATTGAAGATATACGTGATTTAATTTTATGTTGGTATAAAAAATATCACAGGTACAGGTGAACGCACACACCTCTGTCTGGCGTGTGATTCAGCTGAATGATAAGCAGTTGTGTGAAACTATACCTATCCTTAAAAGCAAAGTGAAAAATTTAGTGTTATCAATTCAAGACCAGGAACGGTGTTTCTCCAAACCCTGTGTTGTTCAGTTGAAGGTATGTAATTGGAACTTTGTACAAATTGTTAGAATTGATTGACTTATAAGTAAAAATCATCCAACACCATTGTTAGAGCCGAATTTTAGGCATTTGTTGTACATGCAAAATATTATAGTTGTAACTTTGTTAGGGTTTGTGTGTGAGAGGCTGCATGTGTTTAGTATATAGATATTAGTTGAGACATAAGAATCTGCCAGCCCCTGTTGCCAGCAGATGTCCGAGGCTATATTCACAGGACTGGTGGCAGCTGTGATTTATCACTGCAACTAAGACTCATAGACTTATTGTCTTTGTGGGGTCCTATGGGTTCTGACCTGATCAACCACGATAAGTGGCCGACCAAGAATTTAAGAGACACATGTGGAACGAAAGAGTGTGAGAAAGGGACAGAGAGCTTTAAGATAAGAAGTAAGACATGTGTTTAAGTTTCTAAGAGAGCGTTATAGGATTGTGTGTTGTGGGCTTAGAGGACATACGGTTTTTCAACCTGTCCAGACACTGTCCAGCCACTGTGCATTCATTGTCTAGACATTGTCTAGTCACTGTCAAATTAATGTTTAGGTACTGTTATTCTGTCATTGTGTGGATTGTATTTAGAAGAAGTGTAGTAAGAAAGCTTGGAACTTGAGATTAAAAGACATTTTGAAATCACTGGACCGAGTTGAAACTTTTACATCCTCTACCCCCAACAGCGAGATAATTTAAGAACTCACATTCAAAGTAGAAAAACCCATGAAAATCCGGATGTGAACCTAAGACTTGGACAAAGAATTTTGTGTGGAAGAATTGTGCAATCATCAAATTGGATTAACGCAAACTGGATTAAGGACTCAAAGCTGAAGTAAGTTATTCATTTAGTTTTTCTTTAAAGAAGATTGAGCTTGTCAAGCAAATGGAACTGTTATGTGTTCAAGGATGTGCTAACAGGATTTAAAGAAGACCACCTGTTCAAGTTTTTATTCAGAATCAGGAGGGATTATATTTCATTGGAACTGTGTATTCATTTAGGATTAAGGAAAAGAGAACTGTAAGTTATTTCAAGATTATTCGAACTGTTTGACTAATTTTTCACCATGGCAAGCAGAACATTGAGCGATACTGTTCACAGTGATAAAGGACTGACTAATGAGCTTAGGAGAAATGCTAAATCTGTGATAACAGAATCACGAATAAGAAAACCAACGGAAAAGGGGCAAAGCTATAATTTGAATACAGCACTGGAAAAAAGAAAATTCCTGTACAAACAAGTGTGTTCAAAGGTAAACTACATTGAATACTTGATGAGCTCTGACGCTCTGGATGATGTAAAAATTGAGTTTCAAGAATGGAAAGAACTATTTTCGAAATTTAAAGAATCGGCTGAAACTTATCACAATAAACTTGAAAGTCAATCAGCGAAAGAGGAAGACGAAGCCTGGTTCCAGTCACTGTTAGGTGCCTTAGTACAGTTTGACACAAATGTTGCTTCGTTTAATAAACCCTGTGATACAGAAATTGAAATAAGGCCTGAAGATAGCGTTTCGCAAGTCGGAACACGTAAGGGTTCAGTCATATCATCTGCGTCCTCTGCTAAAATGGAAATCTTGGCAAAAAGGGCCGAATTTGTTGCTAGACAGAAAGGATTAGAGCAAAAGCATCAACTGGAAGAAGAAGAGAACAGGTTAAAATAAAGGAGAGAAAGATTAGAACTTGAGACAGAAGTGGAAATCGCAAATGCCCAGTATGCAATTTTTGACCAGTATGACCAAGAATCTAACAGTTCGCAAAAAAGATCATTCTCAAAAGTCCTTCAAGCCACCAAATAACCGAAATGATGTGTTGAATCCACTTGCTGGAGAATTCACCCTGAATCAGAACACAGGCTCACCAGCTGGAGTGCAGCTTGTGGTAGAACACCAGAAGCTAGCCAGTCTACCCATTAGAAAAATACCTACGTTTAGTGGCGACCCATTACAATTTAAGCCTTTCATACGAGCTTTTCAACATGGCATAGAAGACAAGACCATTAATCCCAAGGATAGACTCTATTACTTGGATCAGTACACCAGCGGTGAACCAAATGACTTGGTAAGAAGCTGTATTCACAGGAATCCGGAAAGTGGCTATGAACAAGCCAGATCATTGTTGGATAAGAAATTTGGGAACAAATACAAGCTTGCAACAGCTTACATGGACAAAGCCTTGAAATGGCCAGCTATAAAGTCAGAAGACAGTGATGCACTGACCAGCTGTTCTATATTCCTGACAAGTTGTGGAAATACCATGGCAGATATAGAGTACATGAGAGAATTAGAACATCCCAAAAACCTAAGGGAACTGATTCAAAAGTTGCCATACAAATTAAGAGAAAGATGGAGGGCAGTTTCATTTGATATCTTGGAAAGAAGAAATGTCACCTTTGCAGACCTTGTTCGTTTCGTGGATAGACAAGCACAGATATTGTCGAGTCCATTGTTTGGCACAATTGCCGACGACAGACAAGCTCAACCAAAGCCTAACCCAAAAGAAGTACCTAAGCGATTTAACAGCTTTGCCACTGATACATCGAAATCTGAATCGAGAATTCATGCGGTGGCACCCAAAGAAACCTACCCTGGTCAGGCAAAATCAGAGACACAACGTAAGCCATTCACAGCACGAGAGAGAGCTTTGAGGGCATTCGCCAAGCCATGCTGGTTCTGCGACGAGGATCACAGTATGGAAATGTGCATAAGACTTCAGTGTAAGACACTGGATGAAAAAATTGACTTTCTAAGACCAAAGGGATTGTGTTTTGGCTGTCTACAGTTTGGACACACAAGTCGCCAGTGCCCCAGCAGATTGACCTGTCATATCTGCAAAATGAGACATGCAACGTGTTTCCATGACAACAATAAAGATAAACTAAAGAAGGAAAAGGATCAGACGAAGCCAAAGGTCACAGTGAAGATCTCAAAGACTTGAGCTATATGCCTGTAGTTCCTGTTAGAATCAAAGCCGTGCTGGGGACAGATATGTCAAGACATATGCCTTCCTTGACAACGGCAGTTCAGCAACCTTCTGCACAAGCAGGTTGGCTGAGGAGCTTCATGTCACAGGGAAGATGACAAATATAGTTGTCAGGACCATGACGCAAAAGAAGTCTGTGAATACCTCCATTCTAACAAACCTAGAAGTAGGTGACATCCATGGAAGGAACTGGATCAAATTACCTACAGTATTCACACAGTATGAAATGCCTATTTCCACAAGAACTATTCCCAAAGAAGGGTTCATTCATCAATGGCCGCATCTATGGGACGTCACACTACCACCTATAGATGCAGAGATAGGGCTGCTAATTGGCAACAATGTACCTATGGCATTGGAACCCCTGGAAATAGTCAACAGTCATGGTAACGGACCCTATGCTGTAAGAACGATTCTTGGCTGGACGGTAAATGGGCTTGTCCAGGAATCTGAATCTCCCAGTAAGATCTCAGTCAACAGAACTGATGTTCTAGCAGACGAGTCCCTTGATCATCAGTTGAGAGGATACTTCGACAGAGAATTTAACGAGCGCCTCAGCAATGATAAAGAAGAACTGTCAAGAAATGATCAGCATTTCTTGGATATAATGAACTCATCCAAGAGATTAACAGGAGGACACTACCAGATGTCTCTGCCATTCAAAGATTTCAAAATCAACTTACCAAACAATAAAGTACAGGCCAAAGAAAGAGCTATTTCGCTTAAGAAGAAGTTTCTGAAGAATGAAGCTTTCTACAGAGATTACAAAGGCTTTATGAAGGATCTCCTACACAAAGATTATGCCCAAAGGGTTCCCGAGATTAAGAAAGATCTTCAGGATGGGAAGGTGTGGTACATACCACATCATGGTGTATACCATCCAAAGAAACCAGATAAGATAAGAGTAGTATTTGACTGTGCAGCAGAATACAGAGGAAAATCACTAAATGACCACCTGCTACAGGGGCCGGATCTCACCAATGTCTTATTCGGAGTGCTCCTGAGATTTTGCCAAGAACCAATAGCTCTAATGGCGGACATTGAAGCCATGTTTTACCAGATCAGAGTTGAACCAGATGATTATGATGTTCTAAGATTCCTTTGGTGGCCCGATGGAAATCTCGATGAAGAATTACAGGAATATCAGATGAAAGTGCACTTGTTTAGCGCTGTCTCTTCACCAAGTTGTGCCAACTTTGCACTGAGAGAAACAGCAAAAAGACAACAAGGACATGTTTAGCAACAATGTGATCCATGCCCTTGAAAGGAGTTTCTATGTGGATGACTGTCTCAAGTCAGTTGCGTCTGACGAAATAGTGATTGAGATGTCACAGAAACTGAGAGAAATCTGAAGTAAAGGTGGATTCCGTTTGACAAAATGGATAAGTAACAGCAGAGCTGCAATAAACTCAATCCCAGAAGAGGATCGAGCCAAAGAAAGTTAAAGACTTAGACATAGATGATGCCTTGCCAGTGGAGGGCATTAGGTGTACAATGGTGTGTCGAATCAGACACATTTAAGTTCAGGATAGCAGTCAAAGACAAACCAGCAACGAGAAGAGGCATTCTGTCAACTGTCAGCTCCATATATGATCCACTGGGATTTGCAGGTCCTTTTGTTCTCAAAGCAAAGGGAATTCTACAAGACCTTTGTAGACTTAAGATGGGATGGGACGACGTCATTCCTATTCCGTCCCAGAAAGACTGGACCAAATGGTTGTCAGAACTACAAAGGCTTGAGGAAATGAAGATAAGAAGGTACATTCAACCCAAGGATAGTGATCAGCATGCTATATCCCAAATAAACCACTTCTCAGATGCCAGTCAAAAGGGTTATGGAACTGTTTCCTTTTAAGACAAGTCAGTACCACTGGACAAGTTAATTGCTCATTTCTTATTAGCAAGTCTAGAGTTGCTCCACTTAAGACCATCACAATCCCAAGAATGGAGCTATCAGCTGCGACTTTAGCAATATGAGTGGACAGCATGCTCAAACATGAGCTGGAGATTTCAGTTGATCAAACGTACTTCTGGACAGACAGCATGTCAGTTTTAAGATACATCGCCAATGATTCAAAGCGATTCCGCACCTTTGTAGCAAATAGGCTATCAGTGATTCATGAAGGGTCAGTCCCATCACAATGGAAATATGTGGATACTCAAAACAATCCCGCAGACGAAGCATCTCAAGGACTGTCAATAGATGCATTTCTGAAAGATACCAGATGGATATCTGGACCAGAGTTCTTATGGGAAAATGAAGAAATGTGGCCCCAACAGACACACATTTCAACTGACATTCCAATGAAAGATGTGGAATTAAGGAAGGTTGCCCAGGTCAACCAGATAGACTACAGAAAGCCATGCAAAGAAGTAGATAGCCTTATCAGTCGCTATTCGGACTGGTTTGCTCTGAAGAAGGCTATTGCATGGGTACTCAGGATACGGGAAGTACTCCTAGACCGGAGTAAAATGAAGAAGGCAGGTTTAACACCACAGAAAAGTAAGCCTGTCGTGTTGACAGTAAAAGAATTGGAAGAATCGGAGAAAGCCATTATTCTGTGTGTTCAACAGCAGAACTTTTCAAGTGAGCTTGAAAGACTTACCTCAAACAATGGACTTAATCTGAGCAAAGGCAGTCCAATCTCCAAGCTTGATCCATTTGTAGAAGATGGTATACTTAGAGTGGGTGGATGTTTAAGTAGGGCCAACATGCCAGAGAGCGCGATGTACCCAGTGATTCTACCAAAGAAATCTCATGTGTAAGAACTGATAATTCGTCACATCCATCATGAGTGTGGACATTCAGGCAGAAACTTTGTACTTTCAAAATCGTTTGAGAAATATTGGATTATCAAAGCCAATGCAGCAGTGAGACAAGAGCTACACAGATGCGTGACTTGCCGGCTTACCCATGCTGAAGCAGGTAATCAAAAGATGGCTGACTTGCCTGCTCACCGTGTGACTCCCGATGAACCTCCGTTCACCTTTGTTGGAGTGGATTACTTTGGTCCATTCGACGTAAAATGCAGAAGAAAGCATGAAGAAAGATTTGGAGTTTTGTTCACGTGCCTTACAACACTAAGGCTATTGTTAACAATAGACCTATATTCAAAGCATCAAGTGACCCAAATGATTTGGAAGCACTTACTCCAAAATCACTTGCTGCTCATGAAAGAAAACCGAATTTGCCGCCGGGTATGTCTGACTTGGGTGGTTCATATCCAATACGTCGGTGGCGCCAAGTGCAGTATATGGCGGATTTGTTCTGGAAGAGATAGTTAAGAGAGTATCTGCCATTACTACAAGAACGACAGAAGTTGGTAAAGATAAGAAGAAATTTGAAGATTGGTGACATCGTGCTCATAGTGGACAATACAGCACCTAGAAATTCCTGGTCAATGGGCAAAGTTGTGAAGCTTATGCCAGATAGAAAGGGTGTTGTTAGACGTGTCGAAGTGAAAACCCAGACAAAGGTTTTGGACAGACCAATCAGCAAGCTGTGCTTGCTTCTTGAGAGTGACATATAAACTGTGTTATGAGACTGTAACTTGACAACGAGTCTGAAGTTAAGATGAAGAGCATCGACTAATATGTTTGATTAGTTCGTGCATACTGTAATATACTAAGATTATAACTCAGAGAGAATGTCCACTGTTCTAACGTCTAGTTGTTAAGTCAATTAATGTAGCTTAGGATGACATTGTTTAAAGTAAATAATTTGCTCTATATAATTTCATGGTAATTGTTACATTCAGATATAAGTAACAATTAGGGGCTGGAATGTTAGAGCCGAATTTTAGGCATTTGTTGCACATGCAAAATATTATATTTGTAACTTTGTTAGGGTTTGTGTGTGAGAGGCTGCATGTGTTTAGTATATAGATATTAGTTGAGACATAAGAATCTGCCAGCCCCTGTTGCCAGCAGATGTCCGAGGCTACATTCACAGGACTGGTGGCAGCTGTGATTTACCACTGCAACTAAGACTCATAGACTTATAGTCTTTGTGGGGTCCTATGGGTTCTGACCTGATCAACTACGATAAGTAACATGTGTGTCAAGTTTGGTTAACCTAGCATGTAAACTTTAAGAGATATGCTCCGGACAAAATAATCGAACACATTTGGCACTAAGTCATGTTTCCATGGAAACAACACAAAATACAATTCATATCTAGATCTAAACCCCAAAAGGCACATCTAGGGAACATGCTTGATATGTGTACCAAGTTTGATGAAGCTAGCATGTATAGTTTGGAAGATCTGCTCCGTACAAGATGACATCCTCATAGTCACAGACTAAGTCATGTTTCCATGGAAACAGCACAAAATACAATTCATATCTGGATCTACCCCCCAAAAGGCACATCTAGGGATCATGCTTGATATGTGTACCAAGTTTGATGAAGCTAGCATGTATAGTTTGGAAGATCTGCTCCGGACAAGATGACATCCTCATAGTCACAGACTAAGTCATGTTTCCATGGAAACAGCACAAAATACAATTCATATCTGGATCTACCCCCCAAAAGGCACATCTAGGGATCATGCTTGATATGTGTACCAAGCTTGATGAAGCTAGCATGTATAGTTTGGAAGATCTGCTCCGGACAAGATGACATCCTCATAGTCACAGCCTAAGTCTTGTTTCCATGGAAACAGCAAAAAACTAAATTCTGAAAAAAACTTTAAAATAGCAAAATGCACATCAATGGGTAATGATTAACATGTGTGTGAAGTTTGGTGAACCTAGCATGTAAACTTTAAGAGATATGCTCCGGACAAAGTTTCGGGACGGACGGACGGACAGAATGAACGCTATATACCCCCGTTACATCGCAGCGGGGGTATAATTAAGTAAATTAATAAAGGCATGCTAACTTCACGAGATAAGCATTGAAATTCCCGTTATTTACTGGTTAGGATTAGAAATGATCAAAGGTACTTAAAACAAGACGTAAAGGTCGAAAAATCGGTGTCATAAGTTTACACAACGAATAAACAAAATGCCTTTTTGTTACTTTAACCAAAAAGTTCACTTCAAATGGTAGTGTAGCATTGTTGCAGAATTACGGAAATGACCTTGTTTTGTGGAAGCATGACCCATATCGAATTCATGTAAGTTGGCTGTGTAATGATATCTTGCAGGGTTTTGTAAATAATTAATATTTGCCACAGGTACCATTAACCTTTATTTTTACTTAATTTTCACTAGTGAGTTTAAGCTTTTGATGGGTAGTATATCTTAGATTGAAAAAAATGCGATCCGCTGGAGTGTAGCGCCAAAACACAACTTTGAGGCGAGATGACCAACTTTCGGCCCCACTTTAACGTGGACGGTTGCGTTTGGGTGAATATTTTCAATTTCAGTAACTGACATTCCAATCTGCGTGACTCACCAGGCTAAACCTTCCATTCATATTTACATATGTTTGTACTTCTTTTCAAACCAATTGATTTAATTTTCAAGATAATAAAAAAATATCAGTGGCCTTAATAGGCTTCCGTAGCTATATGTACAAGGTTTGAACATTGATATTACATATAAAAGGAAATAGAATCAGCAAACAGGCTAAATATAGACTGCTCCATTTCTACCTTGGAATTCTGATGGAATATAGCGTAAGAAGTGATGCATGCTTACAAATGTTAACAAATAAGATGTACTACTTAATGAACATATTACATATTGAAAGCGGTTAGAATCAGCTATGAATTTATAGACATAAGCAACATTCCACCCATTTCAAATTTAATAGCAATATCCTATTCAAATTTGCTTGCTTGGTTCCTATTCATAACATTTCAATACACATTCCAGTCAGCATGAGTAATATCTTTATATAAAGATGTCATGGAATAGGTTCAAAGGACAGCTCCTTGAATTTATAGAATGTGCTCCAGAAAGCTCCTTCGGTATGTAGGAGCGCTCCTGGAAAAATGCTATTGTTCTCCCCTGGAATGTTATTGTTCTCCTTGGGAATGCTATTGTTCTCCTTAGGAAAGCTATTGTCTGTCCGTAACTGATTACTTATATGCTACTCCGAGTCATTGTTTTGAGAATAAACGTAAGGTTTGATTGAACGCGCGTTCAAATAGTCCGGCTGTCCGGCTTGCGATCAGGCTTTCAGCATCGCGAGTGTCACCCCTTGCGTATTTTATGTAATGAGTGTAGCGGGATATTTTCTAAACAATCCATTTCTTCAGTGATTTCGTTCAAATTTTAAGTATAAGTTACTCATAACATATAAAAACAATATACGGTTGCAGAAATCAAGTTTTTTATTTTTTTAAATTATTGTCGAAACAGTGATGCGAACCCCTGTGCATCAGACCCTATTACCCGAGGGAGAAGCATACAACATATTTATCTTACAGCCATGTTAAATGTACAAATTATATTTTATTTTATTTTGAAGATCGACACAGACTATATGACATATGTAAACAAAATGGTGTCTGCCTCTCGACTGGAATTTTAAAATCATTCTGACAAGCTTAAAACTGCAATAAAAATGGTTAATTATGTTTAAGTTAAGTGTGCAAACGATTCAATGTATAAAATAGTTTAAATAAAGTAGTGAAAGTCGGTAAAATAAATCTGTACATTGTAAACTCAAAAACAGCTATTCGAACGGCTTTCGAACTCCGGGCATTGCATGCGTCATATTGTGACGTCGTACGATTGTTAGCGATACAGCTTCTCGGCGGAGAGTTTGGCGGTTACTGTGGCAGCAGGTAATAATTTTTTCAGTTGTCACCCTCCTGGGAGGGGTGACACGGAAACTTGTTAAAGCGTCATTGACCAATGATATTAAAGTATTTTACATGAAGGTAAGATAATCACTGTTATCCACGCAACGCGTTTTGCGGGGGGTATTATTTTGGACTCTGTCTGCCGGGTGCGTCTGTGCGTGCGTGCGTGCATGCGTGCGTGCGTGCGTCCGTGCTAATTCGTCTTTTCCGGAGCAGAACCTTTATACCGTTCAACGTTTCTTCACCAAACTTGGCACATAGATAGGTCTGGTGTCCTTTGGTAGTTTTCGCTTTCTGAATAGCATACAGAACCGTCACCTAAATTCGTGGATCGCGGAAATTATTATGCTAGCTCGTAAATTAAGTCTCAACTGACGTCACGAAGCGGTGCTTTTGATGTACATACAATGCCACACCTCGCTGACAAAAATTTTTCTGAATCTCTGCATTACACGCAAGTACACTAAATGTGATTGTCCAGCATTGAGATAAATAGACCCAGATCACTTATACCACAAATGCCAAAATTTATTTTCATAAAATTTCAAGTAAAAAAGGTACCGTTAGCTCCAACCTTCTCACTTCTCGTTGTCTGCTTTCCTTGGTGTCAATACTTACTGCAGTGGGATGTCGTACACAGTGGTATAAAGTAACCGACTACGTAATCCACGAAACAAGGTGACGTCACATTTTGTGGGCACATGAATGGGTGATGATTGCAAATGGCTTCCGTAAACTAACGTTTCATTCACAAGTGGAATATTAGGCATTTTCAATTTTCCGAATCAATGAATAAAATAATCAGTGCGTATACAAAATGAAATCATACATTTTACATAGGAATTTCGCCACACTTCCCTTATATCCACGAATCAAGGTTACACGAGTGTAATTATTTTGCGTTTCTATGACAAGTTTTATTTTGACTAAAATTGGTGATATAGTGCTCCTTTCCGCAGCAAAACTTTAAAACACCTCAATACTCTTTCCACTTTGTGGGTATCCAACAGCCTAATGACTTAAATCAACAGAGCCACTCTGTTTCCAGTATCAACATTACTGAGGTACATCAAACTGTACATTTGACATAGTTATAACTAGTTGACATATTCACGAATAGTATTAACTAGTTGACATATTCATGATTAGTTTTTGGCATTGTGGGGGATATTGATGACTTTGTCTTCTTGTTCATATTTCATTCATATGTTAACACCAATCACCTCACCATGCCCATGCCCAAGCAATCACCTCACCATGGCCACGCCCAAGTAATAACCTTACCATGCCCACGCTCAAGTTATTGCCTCTCTGTGCCCAGGCCCAATTATTGCCTCACCATGCCCAGGCCTAAGTTATTGCCTCACTATGCCCACGACCAAGTAATGACCTCACCATGCCCATGACCAAGCAATAACCTTACCATGCCCATGACCAAGCAATAACCTTACCATGCCCATGCCCAAGTTATTGCCTCACCATGCCCAGGCCCAAGTAATCACCTAACCATGCCCAGGCCCAAGTTATTGCTTCACCATGCCCACGACCAAGTAATGACCTCACCATGCCCATGACCAAGCAATAACCTTACCATGCCCATGACCAAGCAATAACCTTACCATGCCCATGCCCAAGTTATTGCTTCACCATGCTCAGGCCCAAGTTATTGCCTCACCATGCCCAGGCCCAAGTAATCACGTAACCATGCCCAAGCCCAAGTAATCGCCTAACCATGCCCACGACCAAGTAATCACCTTACCATGCCCACACCCAAGTTATTGCCTCACCATGCCCAGGCCCAAATAATCACCTAACCATGCCCAGGCCCAGTCAAATCACCTTACCATGCCCATGCCCAAGTTATTGCCTCACCATGCCCAGGCCCTAATAATCACCTAACCATGCCCACACCCAAGTTATTGCCTCACCATGCCCAGGCCCAAATAATCACCTAACCATGCCCAGGCCCAAGCAATCACCTTACCATGCCCATGCCCAAGTTATTGCCTCACCATGCCCAGGCCCAAGTAATCACCTTAACATGCCCACGACCAAGTAATCACCTTACCATGCCCACACCCAAGTTATTGCCTCACCATGCCCAGGCCCAAGTATTCACCTCACCATGCCCATGACCAAGCAATCACCTCACCATGCCCATGCCCAAGTAATCACCTTACCATGCCCATGGCCAAATTATTGCCTCACCATGCCCACAACCAAGTAATCACCTAACCATGCCCACAAGCAAGTTATTGCCTCACCGTGTCCACAATCACGTAAACGCCTCACCATGCCCACGATTAAGTTATTACCTCACCATGCTCAATGTCATGGATTCACCTCACCATGCAGAAGATCAAAATGTCACCTCACTCTGCCCACATAAGATGGTGAGTTATCATCTCACTATGCTCCTTCCTGACAAGCAGTGATTAGTCTACAGCTATGTATATCTGATTATCTTCTAGTGGAACTCGTCACAAGGAACAATGAGGAGAGCTGTGCTGCTGTGCTTCATACTGTGCTGCTCTGGAATACTGGCAGGTGAGACTCGGGTACTATAATATACTGGCAGGTGAGACTCGGGATGCTATAATATACTGGCAGCTCAGACTCGGGATACTATAATATACTGCCAGGTGAGTCTGGGGATACTATAATATACTGGCAGGTGAGACTTGGGATACTGTAATATACTGGCAGGTTAGACTGGGGATGCTATAATATACTGGCAGATGAGACTCGGGATGCTATAATATACTGGCAGGTGAGTCTGGGGATACTATAATATACTGGCAGGTGAGACTTGGGATACTGTAATATACTGGCAGGTTAGACTGGGGATGCTATAATATACTGCCAGGTGAGTCTAGGGATACTATAATATACTGGCAGGTGAGACTCGGGATACTATAATATACTGGCAGGTGAGACTCGGGATGCTATAATATACTGACAGGTGAGACTCGGGATGCTATAATATACTGCCAGGTGAGTCTGGGGATGCTATAATATACTGGCAAGTGAGACTTGGGATGCTATAATATACTGGCAGGTGAGACTCGGGATGCTATATTATACTGGCAGGTGAGACTGGGGATGCTATAATATACTGGCAGGTGAGTCTGGGGATACTATAATATACTGGCAGGAAAGACTGGGGATACAATAATATACTGGCAGGTGAGACTTTGGATACTATGATATACTGGCAGGTGAGACTTGGGATACTATAATATACTGGCAGGTGAGTCTGGGGATGCTATAATATACTGGCAAGTGAGACTCGGAATGCTATAATATACTGACAGGTGAGACTTGGGATACTATAATATACTGGCAGGTGAGACTTGGGGAACTATAATATACTGGCAGGTGAGACTTGGGATACTATAATATACTGGCAGGTGAGATTCGGGATACTATAATATACTGGCAGGTGAGACTCGGGATACTATAATATACTGGCAGGTGAGACTTGGGATACTATAATATACTGGCAGGAGAGACTTGGGATACTATAATATACTGGCAGGTGAGACTTTGGTACTATAATATACTGGCAGGTGAGACTCAGGATACTATGATATACTGGCAGGTGAGACTTGGGATACTATAATATACTGGCAGGTGAGACTTGGGATACTATAATATACTGGCAGGTGAGACTTGGGATACTATAATATACTGGCAGGTGAGACTTGGGATACTATAATATACTGGCAGGTGAGACTCAGGATACTATAATATACTGACAGGTGAGACTTGGGATACTATAATATACTGGCAGGTGGGACTCAGGATACTATAATATATTGGCAGGTGAGTCTTGGGATACTATGATATACTGGCAGGTGAGACTTGGGATACTATAATATACTGGCAGATGAGACTTGGGATACTATAATATACTGGCAGGTGAGATTCGGGATACTATAATATACTGGCAGGTGAGACTTGGGATACTATAATATCCTGGCAGGTGAGACTTGGGATACTATAATATACTGGCAGGTGAGACTTGGGATACTATAATAGACTGGCAGGTGAGACTCAGGATAATATAATATACTGGCAGGTGAGACTTGGGATACTATAATAGACTGGCAGGTGAGACTTGGGAAACTATAATATACTGGCAGGTGGGACTCAGGATACTATAATATACTGGCAGGTGAGACTCGGGATACTATAATATACTGGCAGGTGAGACTTGGGATACTATAATATACTGGCAGGTGAGACTGGGGATACTATAATATACTGGCAGGTGAGACTTGGGGTACTATAATATACTGGCAGGTGAGACTTGGGATACTATAATATACTGGCAGGTCAGACTTGGGATAATATAATCTGATGGTTAACCATGTTAACAGTACGCTTCTGTTTTACAATGTGGATAACATGGTTCAGTAATTCCAGGGATAGTTAACTAAGGGCTTCGCTCAAACATATTCTCCTCTCTAAAAAGTTGTACATCCTGGAAGGCCTGTTGTCATTCATCACCCTTTATTCAAACAGGAAGGTGTGATTTTGATGTATGTTCCAGCATATACTTGGCGTTCTCATCAGCTGGACAATGTACGTTAATTGTTTGTTCATTATGTTCATTGTGTATATTTTTACTTATCCTGACTCATGCTAAATGCTTGTCTCCTTCTTGCGAATGATAGTGGAACACTTGAAATCCCTTGAAGTTCCCTTCTAAAAAGCGGACGTAAAATCATCACTCACCTACGAGTAGTCTCCCTTGCCTCCTTTGGCGCCCTTTTGGGTCACATGACCAGCCATGTTTGTCACTCTCTCCTTCTTCGCCCTTGAGGATGGTTGTGAGAGCACCTGGGTCCCCATACGGCACATATCCTTTTCTCTTTGGGACCTTTACATCAAAATTATTGCTGTATATGGTTTTAGGATTGTATACTACTAATATGGTTTGAAATTGAAATATCTAACTTCTACGTTGTTTGACATGTTTTTTCATCGTGTTTACATTTGATGAAAACTTGTTGTAGGTACCGGTTGTCTGCGGCTGACTCACATTTATTATGTCCTGATTGCACTACTTCATGTTCTTCCAGCTCTCGCTGTAAACATTGTCAGAATTTAACCACTTTTGAATTTAATAATTACTTTTTTTCCATTCACAGACATGCAAAGGGCTGGAGAAGACCTTCTATCAACGCAGACATTGGGTACCAGAGATAGCAGCAGCGTCAACTCTTCACAAGTGCAGCGTGCTTTAGAAGAGGCCTCATCATTATCAGAAGCATCATCAACCATGCAGCAGTCTCAATAGACATCGCAGAACTTCAACCCGGGGCTGTTTATGCAACAGTTTACAGACCAGATGATGTCGATGATGGAATGTCACTTCGCGCAGGAGACAGCTGCTACAAAGACTACTACGATGACTACAAGCCTGCTCGAAGATTCAGCAGCCTCTCCAACGCACTTGGAAGAAGAGGGAAGCCTGCGCGAAGGCTCATGCACCCGACGTTCTTTCCCGTCTGAAGCTAGGAGCCTGGACAACACTACCAACATCAGCTCAGCCTTAGACGTCCATGAGGGAGCCGCTAAGAAATCTCCATGCAGAAGCAGATCGAAGCATACTCCAGAACCCTACAGACATCGTAGATACGGATCGTCATCACCATCGGACTCACATCGGGAACCTGCACGCAGGCACTCCACATCTCACAGAGGGGAAACCACGCCTAAGAATCAACCTTCACGAAGGCCTAGAGAGAGATCTCAAGACTCAAGGAGGGATACACGATCACATCAGGATCGTTCACCTGCACGCAGTTCGACGTACAGAGCTTCATACAGTGACTCACGTCGTCATGGATCGTCAGATCGGTAGATGTTTTAAATCGGATGAAGGTGAAGTCATATTCTCCGATGCGGAAGTAACCTCATGGATTGCTAATGGCCTGGACCTAGCATCACCTTCCAGGGACACAGACGAAGCGTTTACATACAAGATGTCCAACGATGATTTCGACACACTCACCTTTCCGCCTATCAACCCGATCTCCCAAGTACCGGACAGTCTCAGCTCAGCCTTTGATAAGGCTACCAAGTTCCAGAATCAACATATCCCGACGTTCAACGCCAGGAGATTCCCCTTACATCACATGAAACCCTTCCTGAAGGCACCAGAGATTGATGAGGACTACATGATCATCAACGACTCCCACTATAGAATTTACAAGATAGGAGACAAGAAGCTAGCGCAACTGGATACGACTACTAGACGTACCTTTTTCGGACTAGCCAGGTCTAGGGCTACCAACGAAGCACTCATCTCGAAGTTCAAGAACTCCACCGCTGAAGACGACCGGATGATATATTCTGCTCTACTGACTCAGAAAAAGGACCACCAGTTTATGTCCGAGCATCTAGCATCCACATCAGCGGGCCTGACGCTCCTGAGGAGACAAGGATTAGTGTCAATGTGAACCTGGAGTGAGCGGTTCACCAAGTCCTTATACGAAGCCCCATGGTCAGCATCATCCATCTTCAGTGGAGGAATTGAAGAAGTTGCCAAAGAGGTTACACACGAGTCAAGCGAGGTCATGATGATTAAGTCCATAGATACCTTGTCAAATGTGATTCGTCAGACATCCCAGCGCTACTCCAACAAATCCTAGTTTGCAGGAGTCCAGAGAGCAAGAGAAAAGAAATATTCCAACTCGAGAGGAGGAAGAGGTTCTATTCGTCGCCCAACAGGAGCCCCAAGAAGCAACCCCGGAAGAGGCCGAGCACCCAGAGGTGCCAGGGGAACCAAGCACTGAAGGACAGGTTTGGAACGACTGGAGTCTTCCACCCCCAGCCGTTCCCATACAACCTTCGACAGTGGGTGGACGTCTACAACGGTCCTGGGAGAATTGGGGAATACTCAAGGACGACTACGTATCCCAGATACTATGCAGAGGATACAAGTTACAGTTGGAAGCCACTCCGCCGCTTACAAGCAACCCACTGGCCTTCAACTACGCCGACGACCAGACACAGAAACTGGACGATGCAATCAAGACTCTACTCGACAAAGATGCAGTCGAAGAGAAAAATCATGATCTCATCGCGCCCGTTTCCACCTCCAACACTGTTATCACAAGTAACACAGAAAATCAAGCAGACGACAACGTTGCAACTGATTTTGGTCACGCCCTATTGGCCAGCGAGGGTATGGTTTCCCGTCCTCATACAAGAACTCGGAAGTCCAACCCTGAAACTACCAGAGTGGTCGAACCTGCTCGTCCATCCACACACCAAGCTATACGCGTGGAGCGTATCAAAGCTTGCCTGAAGACAAGAGGGTACTCTGCCAGAGCACCGAAAGCAGTAACACTAGCTCTACGCAGATCAACTCGCAACTTGTACAACGACAAGTGGCAGAGATTTGAACAGTATGCAACGAGGAAAGGCTTTACAGCGGTAAAAGCAACCCATCCTCAAGTGGCGGAATACCTGTGTCATTTGCGACAGACGAGACACTTAAAAGGTTCAACACTCTCAACGTACCTGGCTGCTCTCAGCACGGTTATCACCATGAAGACGGGTGTCAAGTTGACCAAGGTACCAGAGATACTGGCACTACTACCCTCGTTCAAGTTGGAAGACCAACAAAAGAAATTCAAGGCTCCTGCCTGGGATCTCAACTTAGTTCTACAACATCTCACTAGTGACGCCTACGAGCCTCTAGAACGGACATCCTTTGAACTACTGACACAGAAAATGCTGTTTCTGATCGCCCTAGCAACAGCAGCACAGATGTCAGAAATACATGCTCTGGACTTTGAACGAACACGATTTGAATTAAGACATCGTGACATCGTACATCTAGGACTGACATGGGACTTTATTGCCAAGAACCAACTGCCTGGCCAGCCTGACAGACAGTTCCACATCCCAGCACTTTCTACAGTCCTTAGGCCACAGGATACACAGGATCTATCCTTATGCCCTGTCAGAGCATTGAAAGTCTACCTACAAAGGACAAAAACAAGGAGACGAAAATTCAAGCGCCTATTCATCTCCTTATCCACTGAGACACCCACGGAAGTCTCAGGGACAACGATATCGATTTGGATGAGAGCCGTCATACTCAGGGCCTACAAAGCAGCAGGGCTTGAGCCTCTACGAGCCTCCAATCCCCACGAGGTCAGAGCCTTGGCGTCTACACTTGCTCTGCATGGAAAATGCTTGATTACAACAATAATGGAGGGCAGCTTTTGGAAATCGGATACGGTGTTTGCCAACCACTACCTCAGAGACATTGCAACCGAAGACGTCTCAGGCATTCACCAGTTTGGGCCCCTTGTTGTAGCACAACAACTAACGCTTCCACAAAGGCGCTGAGAAAAAATCTCACCCTTTTATCACGTGACTTGTGAAAACCAATGCACACTTCTAGGACAGATTAGCATGAGTGATAGACCCTGTATTTGTATAGGACTTACTCGTACATGAAGAAGGGTCGCATCTCCACTTGATGTGTGCATCAAGAGATGGAGTTGCAATAGATAACTAATGGAACATTAGTATATCTAAAATCCACACGAAAATGTCAGGAGAAGTTTCGGAAGAAATCTGACAAGTTGTGGTTCCCCCCCGACTCATCAGAGGAAGTTGAAAGAACAGAATCATCAGCAGTGCCGTCATAAGTTCCCATGGGGGGTAACACAGGACGTAAATCAACAGCCAGTGAATCCAGAAGTGGCCTGACCCACCACCGATTCCGACAGATTCTGCAAGCATTTAGCATGAGTCAGGGTAAGGAAAGATTTGTAATTTTCTGACTAAATTTGATATTTTATACTTATCCTGACTCATGAGGTCAGATCTCCCAACCTCCCCACTCAGGGCACTCGGGATTTCCCTGTAAATCCGTGTGTCGGGCGTACATATATCGAGAGAGTGACAAACATGGCTGGTCATGTGACCCAAAAGGGCGCCAAAGTAGGCAAGGGAGACTACTTGTGGGTGAGTGATGATTTTACGTCCGCTTTTTAGAAGGGAACTTCAAGGGATTTCAAGTGTTCCACTATCATTCGCAAGACGAAGGAGACAAGCATTTAGCATGAGTCAGGATAAGTATAAAATATCTATTTTAGTCAGAAAATTACATTTTCCAGCGACCCATTTGAGGTGATGTAAATCAGTGTGTGAAATAAGCCCCAAACCCAGCCAGACATCTGGGCTAGTAACTTCAAAAACTTACCTGCCCAGAAGAGATTTAACCAGTCCTTCTTAAATACTAAGTAGACAGTGCCAGTGGACACATTATCTGAATTGTTTTTTTTTTCACCTATCCATCAGGCTGGCTAGCTGTAAAATTAGACCGTCCGGCAGAAATCTAGCCCATCTCGGTCGGTCGGACGGGCCTTATTGCAATCATGCAATTCATTGCATTCATGTTCTCATTGTTAGAGGATAGCTATCTACTACTCGTTCTCTTAGTGCAGTGTCAGATATGAATGTTAATTCCCACAAATGTGAATAGTGGGCATTGACTTATGGAAACGGATGTTTTGTCAGGGATATGTTTATTTGTTTCAGTAACAAGGCCACCGGGAGTCTATATTCAGCCAAGATACGATGTGTTTTTCAAAGCTGGAGAAACTGTGGAGATGCCCTGTGTTGCTGAAGGCATACCTAACCCCAGGTAAACACTCTTGTGCTGTGCTCTCAAACTTAAGATTTTGACATTATGCAAGCAGCTGGGCCTTAAAGGAGAATACTAGACAATTGCAATAATTTGCGGGGTGAAAGATAAGGTCATCAGAAACATGTACCCCAATTTTTATTTCCTATATATGGTTTATTATGTTTTTATCGCGAAAACAGTTTCTGTTATCTGAGCTTTATGCATATTCCGCTGGAGCTCACGTGACCTTTCTGCTCGTGACATCATATGTGACTAGCGTCCGCCATATTGCCAAAGAACAAGCACTACAGTAATACAATTTGTGTTGTTTCTGTCATTTTTGTAAATGGTAGGATGGTGTATTCCGTTGCCTGGGGATGCACGGAATCATCGAACAATGGAAAGAGCCACGATTTCTTCTGTTTTCCAAGTAAAGAGACAGATTTAGGCAGGAGAAATGCTCCGATCGTTCTGAGTATGACAGAGACATACACACATGGGGTATGAAAATCGCAAAGCTAGGCTGAAGAAGGAAGAAGTACCCGTGAGATTCATTTATACTCCATCATTCCAAGTTACAACTTTCTGTCAGTGGTATTTTTAACATAAATTAAATCAAGTCCGATTGCTAGTCGAATTGCCCCCACTACAAATTGCCCCAACAAATTTGGTCAGATTGCCCCAGGGAAATAGTCAAAATGCCCCAATTTATTTAAAATGATTAAATATAGGCCATAAATGCATAGTTTTGTCAACTTTGATATTATGTTCTTCATATAAAAGAATATACATAGTTATGAGTTTACTAATGGAACATTTATCAGAAATATTACTTTCTAATAACTTTTATATGAAGAACATAATATCATAATAAGTTGACAAAAACTATGCATTTACGGCATATATGTAATCATTTAAAATAAATTTGACCAAATTAGAATGAATGACCAAATTTGCTGGAGCATTTTGTAGCTGGGGCAGTTCGACTGGTACCTATGAGATATATATTATCGAAATCAGTAAGAGATTTCACATGAGCTTGAAAATGTTTCGCTATAACATTCTTTTCGGTTTGGATCCCTAAATGCTGCAGTCTACCCAAAACATTGCCGAATACAACGGCAAATCATGAAGTACTTGTTGCTTTCATTGTTTTCCATTTTGTCCAATTGCGCACGTCAGCATCAGACTCGCTATTTGTCATTAGTGTGTGCCGTGAAAGTTGTTCTGTATTCTCATTGGCTGACAAGATGTCATTCTAAGGCTATGACTGAGTACCATAACTATTTCCACGTTGGCATCAGACTCGCTATTTGTCAGTAGTGTGTGCCGTGAAAGTTGTTCTGTATTCTCATTGGCTGACAAGATGTCATTCTAAGGCTATGACTGAGTACCATAACTATTTCCACGTTGGCATCAGACTCGCTATTTGTCAGTAGTGTGTGCCGTGAAAGTTGTTCTGTATTCTCATTGGCTGACAAGATGTCATTCTAAGGCTATGACTGAGTACCATAACTATTTCCATAACCAAACACTGGGGAAACATACATTGTCCTGACTAGTATTTTATCATTCACCAGTTTTCGGGGAATAACTTATCTGCGTCGCGAATATTATGTCTGCTCGACCAGGCTGGGATCTTGTATGGAGACTTGATACATTATTAATCAGAACTAGGATCCTAATGGTTTCAACAAAATAATTCCAGTGTAATTTTTGTAGCAGATAATTTCTATTTTCCCCAGTCTGAAGCATATTTATTTTGTTTTTAAATCCCAGACACCCTACAGTCACCCATTTGACACAAAAGGAACTGCAATGACATTTAAAAAAAAATTCTTAGGGACTGGTCATATATTTATAGGGGTGGGTTTGCTGTTTGGAACTGTATGACATTTTGCTGACAAACAGTATTCTTGATAAGTGATATGGTCTATTGGTCAATTTATTTTGACCTCAAGCGGTGTCTCCGTTTCACTCGATTCTTCTTCTAAGATATAAACTCGGATCGTACTGATACGGTCTAACATCCATTTCAGAAATGACACCAGTAACATCTTTTACTGCTTCAGAATCCATGGACACTGTTAAGTTGTGAGGTAAAATCAAAGAGGAAGCCATATGCAACAGGCACATATGATGTCATGTCACGTGATACTCCCTCTGCTCATTAACTGTTGGGTGTTTCTGTAATAGGCAGAAATACGAGTACGTTTTTTGTGTGTTTTTATTGCTTTTTTACAAACTTTTTGTTCAATTTTAATCACGGAAGGTGACTTTTAGAATATCCTCTACAATATATCAAAAGTTTTGTTTTCGTTCATATTCTGTTTCGTTTATTTAAGTACAGATTTGTTCACTGGGTATTTAGAATTTTAATACATGTACATACATCAATGTTAAGGAAATGACAGAAAACAGTTTGCAGGTTTGGTAACATGAAACACATTCATTTGAAAATGATTATAAACATGCAAAATATGTTACCATGGTTACCCTTGATAATGCCATAGCTACAAAAACAGAAAAGATCAATGTTAATTAACATTATTATTCTTAAACATACAATATGATAAAGCTGATGTAATAATTGGTAATGAGTAAATTTTTAACTAATCCTGCACTACTTACTTCCTGCTCTTATTGCTTACGACTCGAAACGTGGCTGTGCCAGACGATTGATGCTGAAAACGTAGACTGTGATCTCCCGGGCTTGGATATACATCTGTCTGCGCACGCATCTGTCAACGCATAGATATGTGGTCTGGGGAACTAGCTCGTAATTAAGATGAAGTGTGCGTTGACAAAGACGAAGGCATAGTTGAGTTCAAACGTCTTTAGTTACATGACAAACAAATACACAAGATTTAAATGAGGTGAGCGGAGTACCTGCTCAACCCCAGGGCGTTTCCTAGTCTGAATACTGGACTCTTTGACAATATAGATGTAAGCATATATATATATATAGTTTTTGACAACAATGGACAGGTTACGACTCAACAATGAACAGATAGAGAAACAATAGCTTTTCCTTGACCAGTTGATGTGACGGCCGACACGGCCAAGGGGGATGACCACTTAAGGCAATAATTAATGAAAGTGACAGAGTGGTACAGGGTGACTGACAAGACAATGTTCACTGCGGTAGTGATAGGGATTAAAAAGAATGCAGAATCAATAATTATAATTAACTCTTACATTTCTTGGTTACATAGTTTTTGGACGATGGCTGTCCTGAATTCTCACTGTAGCACATCACCGTAAGGTGACGTCAGCCACCTCAGATTATTGCTTTTCGCATGCTTCGCAAGACGTGTGGTTTGCCAGCTCAACTGTTTTGTATCCTATTAGTTTGTGTTTATTGATAATAAACTGACTTTTGAGTATTTTCATTTGTTCTTCAGAGAGTGTAGGTATTACCCTTCGTTTTCGTTTTTTGTAGTGCTGTTGTAGTGATGTTGTTTGTTATTAACATGATAGTTTTTCATCACTATTATCGGTTACTTCGCATTTTGAACACGTGGCTTCGAGGTATTCATAGTGGGTTGTTCTTGGCTCATACTTATATGTTATTCTATAGTCATATTTTATTATTAAGCCTTAATTCTTGTCTCCAGTTTTTAGCAGTATTTTGTGAGACATTTGTTCTCAATTATGCTGTTATACCCCGTTACTATTATAATGTTTCACCGTGTGTTTGCTGGGGGTGTCTGCTATATTGCAGTTTCTATACGACACATGCTGTATAGTTTGTAAAGCCAGGGAATCTCATAAGTGCCCTCATTCACACTGTTTGCATTGCACTTTTCCGTGTTTTCCCCTGTCTATGTATGAATGTGCTAGTTGCGCTTACTTAATCATCTTCACACCTTCTTTTTCTGTCTATGAAGCGCCAGGTCAAACACTGATGTGCCACACCACTGATGTCTAGTAGCTTTAGAGTGTCCGGCGCTCCGTCTCCATTTTCCACGTTTCCAGCATTTCCCTGGCAGACTTCTTACTCCTGATGCCACAGATGCATGCACCGCACGTTCTGCAGTTGCTGGATGTTTCGACACCCATTACACACTTGACCTAGTTAGCAGAGCAATCTGGTACAACAGCTCCTCCGCTGTTCATCACTGCAGCACCTGGTGCATCAACTACATCGACTACGACTTCAGAGTTCAGCAGTCGGTGTCAGCGCCTCTGTCGCCAACACCTACCTGTTCCACCGTCGTTCCTGACTACAGCGAATATATGATGCATCTACCTGATCCAGTGCCAATCCGGTGCCTCCACCAGATCTCAGGCCTATACGGCAACTCTACCAGATCTCAGGCCTCTACGGCACCTCCACCAGATCTCAGGCCTCTACGGCACCTCCACCAGATCTCAGGCCTCTACGGCACCTCTACCAGATCTCAGGCCTCTACGGCACCTCTACCAGATCTCAGGCCTCTACGGCACCTCTACCAGATCCAGCCCCTACATGGCTCCTTTACCAGATCCAATGCCTGTATGGTGCCTGTACAACCATACGTATTCAAAGAGCCTGTACGGCGTTTCTAACAGATCCAGCACCTGTACAGCGCCTCTACTAGATTCAACGCCTATAACACCATAATCACTTACTCCATCGCCTTCACGGCGTTTTTACCTGCTCCAGCACCTGTATGATGCCTCCACTATATTCAGTGCCTCCGGTGTTTAACATACTGCGTTAGCGCCTCCTACATCTTAAGGGTTTCAGCAGCTGTTGGTTGCGACACTATCTCTGATGGCCTCTACGTTGGCAGACGGACACATCTTGCCCAGTTGCCCTCGAAGACTTCGACTATTACAGCACCTAAGACTGGCGTGGCGTTTACCCATTCCCTTGTCTTGAATTCATTAGGGCAGCCAAGGTGGATGAAGAAATTAAGCGTGTGACAGTTTTCTTCATCCAGGGCGTCTTACAAGGCAAGAGACTCAAGGGGTGTGACGGCCCTTGATTCGGAATTCACAAGGATGCTTCATCCTATCTCAAACTTAGCTTCGGCTATTAACACTGTCTCTCAAGACCTGACAGAAGTGAATCTCTTCTGTGATGGCTTGGTAGTGGGTGGTCCTCACTGACCTTCGCGAACACTTTCGGGCATGTGTTATTTGAGGTCAAGGATTTCTCGCCTCTTTTCCGGTTGGGATTCAAAGTTTCAGAGGAATCTATCTCGACAACCCTAGTCCTCGACTACCTAGGGGTCCATATGTCTCATTTGGCTAGGGACTGCATTGTAGCTGTGTCAGCCAAATGATGAGTGCGGTTATGGGCCTATGGCGTCTGACACTGCCAAATGATGATTGCGGTTATGGGCCTATGGCGTCTGACACTGTTTCGAGGAATACGGAAGTCTGTCGAGCTTCTCGTTAATCCCTTAGGTGCCCAGGCATCGGCAAACGTTATGATGCCGACTGCAGGGGTTTACTGTATTCTGCCACAAACCCCGGACGGAGTGCGGCGCACACCAGTGTTGGCTTCCCGGGAGAGGACAAAAATACTCCGTGCCGAGATCCAGTCTCTGCTGGGCAAGGCAACCATCGAGCATCGAGGTGGTTTCCAATGGTCAGGAAAATGTGGGGTTTGCCTCCATTTGTTTCCTCGTTGCCATTAAGAACGGAATGTTTAGACCCATTCTCATCTGAGAGCTGAACAAGATAATAGAGGTACTGTCCTTCAAGATGGAGACACTGCGTTCGGTGTTCTCATCTGTCGAGACAGGGATTTGGAGCACGTCAATCGACCTCGAGGTTGAGTACCTCCTTGTTCCATTGCACCGATTTCAAGATTCTTCGACGGGACGTTCTACCAGTTTCGTTTGCTCCCCTTAGGCTACATTACGGCGCCAAGGGTGTTCACCAAAGACTGGCTCATCAGGGTTTTAGAATAACAGTTGAGTCTGGGAACCTCACGATTAGTGTTGGTCACTCTTACAAAACTGGGCCGAATTGTCAACCTCACGAGGACAGACTGCATCTCGAAGCAGGATCCGGTCTTTCTTGGAGGTGATGCTAGTTTGAGGATGAGACCCATGCAGCAATTTTTAGCAGCTGGGATCCCACTCAGAGATCCTGCACGCCGGGATTCGAATTACCTTTTCGTCCCGACATTCTCACTCTGAACGGGGCGCCACACCCGAATCCTCGGATTCACTGGGTCTAACCTCCAGACACGTGGAATTCCTGCAGCAGTTGCAGACACAATTCTGACTTCGAGGCAGGATTTGACACCTGTTCAGTATGTGGGGCGCGCTGGTGTGCAGATGGGGGGATTTCAGAATCCCTATTCTGGGGATTTAGTTCAGATATTGGAGTTACTATAACCTCGTTTTGGTTGAGAGCCCTATGACCTCCACCATTCCCGGTTACTCCATGGCTATTTCCATGTTTCACACCTCATTCGATGGTGCTCTGCCTAGTCAACACCCACTCGTACAGCGCTTCGTAGCTGGCATGAACAGGGCTGGGTCGCCACCTTGAAATTTGCCAATTATTCTCAATTGACTGTCTGGCCCTGACCTGTCAAGTATATCATCTCTATCACTTCACTTGTTGACGTGGAAGACGGCTTTACTTGTGTTGGTGAGCTCTGGTAGAAGGGTCGGGTACATCCATGCGATACCCACTGACCCGATTCTGTCAGTATTTTATACTGATCATGTCCGTATTCGCCTCCCGGATACCTACCACTCTCAGATCGATATTGCTTTCCACGTGACTGCTCATATTGAACTTCCACCCCTTACCCAGCCTTCCACACCGGGGACTGATCTTTCGATTGCTCACCCATTAGAGTGACTTTTATGAACGAACGAAAGGGATCTGTACGGGTGCCCATGTGTTCTGTTTGGTGGCAGGAAGACTGGGGAGTCTTCTAGCAAGCGGACTTATCTCGTTGGCTTGTTTCCATACTTGTTCGGTTACAATGCTAAGGTTTACCTTCCCCCCGAGGGGTTCAAGGCAGACTTGGCAATACACAGCGGCACTGCTCAATGAAGAGATCGATTCTGTCACTCTTTGGAGCCGGCAGAACGCCTTCATTCGCCATTACCGACTTGACAAGCATTCTTTTGGTTCTCTCCAGTGGAGAGTATCCTGCCATCTTGACCAAGTTAGTAACTGGTCATTGGTATCGGTTCTGTGTTCAATGTCGATATGGTTCATATCACTACATCGTATAAGCCTTACCACCCTTTTGGGTTGGGTCGGGTCGGGTTTGGGTGTACATACGTCCCTTACATCCTCTTCACCTAAAGGCAAGAGAGGGCGGGTTTTGGTTACGCTATAACCAGTCATATGCTATTAACCCGTCTTATGACGGAATTGGGTACGAACAGCCCACGGGTCACTGTTTGGTATGCCTCTCTTCGAGCCACATGTCACATGATCAGGTTAGTGTAATAGCTAGTGAGCCAACACATATTCAGCTAAGCTTTTCGCTATTCAGGGAATTTTTGTACGCTAACAGTTTTTCCCTCTTCCCGAGACTTCGGTATTTGGGAATCTGTCTTAATCAGCACTTTGGGTGATGGTGGTTTACACTTACCCTCCTCGCGCCGAGAGTGTTTGGTGGGGGCGTGTATTTAAGCGTGTATGTCTTATATATGATACCACTGAGATATAGTCCCTCTCTGTTGACTATTCTTCCAGATTCCACGAAGTTACCGTCATTCATGATATTTCTTCCCACGAAGCACGATCACGCCGTGTGGGAAAAGAGTTGTTCTGGCAGAACAACTGGTTATGCCAGTTATGGAGTAACACTTGGAAAAATTCAAGTCACTGCTTTTTACTGCATTTCCCTAAGCTAATCTCGCATTAAAAATTGTGTGGTCTTTTCCATTTAAGCCTACATGTCTTATAGGCGAATTACCACTGAGAGATAGTCACTGTCTGTTGACTATTCTTCCAGGTGCAACAAAGATACCTTCCACCATTTTTATTCTTCTCATGAAGCACGCCGACGCCGTGTGGGAAAGGAGTTGTTCCGGGAGAACAACGGTGTATGTCAGTTAAGGAGTAACACTTGGGTTAACTCGAGTCACTGCTTTTTTACAGCATTTCCCTAAAGCTAATAATGCTTTAAAAATCGTGTGATGTATTCCATTTAAGCCTACATGTCTAATATGCAAATTACCACCGAGAGATAGTCACTGTCTGTTGACTATTCTTCCAGGTGCAACAAAGATACCTTCCACCATTTTTTTTCTTCTCATGAAGCACGCCGACGCCGTGTGGGAAAGGAGTTGTTCCGGGAGAACAACGGTGTATGTCAGTTAAGGAGTAACACTTGGTTTAACTCGAGTCACTGCTTTTTTACTGCATTTCCCTAAAGCTAATAATGCTTTAAAAATCGTGTGATGTATACCATTTAAGACTACATGTCTTATATGTGTATTACCACTGACTGATTGGCACTCGCTATCCGCTCTAGGTGCAATGACGGTTTTCCACCACCGCGGTGTACTTGATGACATTGACTGAGCTGTCTTTGTTTACCTTGCGAGGCGATCCCCACAAATGACACGCCCTCCATCCTGCCTGCCCGATAAAGGTGTAGGAAGTAAGTAGTGCAGGATTAGTTAAAAACTTAGTAAACTCTAAATATTTATTATATTTGTATACTTATCCTGCACTTCTTAAGATAAGCGCCCTCCCTGCGCTTTCTCCTCCCTCCCCTCTTCATCTTCTTCTGCGGGATTTACAGCAATAATCAGAGGTGGCTGACGTCAACTTTTGGTGATGTGCACGCGGATGTTTATCCGAAACCAGGATGTGATCACATGCACAGTCTACGTTTTCAACATCAATCGTCTGGCACAGCCACGTTTCGAGTCGTAAGCAATAAGTGCAGGAAGTAAGTAGTGGAGGATAAATATACAAATATAAAAAATATTTAGATTTTACTAATTATGTAAAATATGATCCAATAGTCATCACAATTTAATTGATATTGTTTTCAGGTATACATGGGAAATGAATGGAATCAAATTCAACCCAAGTGGTAATGATGACCGTATGGTCCAGCTCCCTAATGTTGGGACCATCGTCATCAACAGACCAGAAGACAAAGATGAAGGCATTTTCCAATGTTTTGCTGAAAATGATTATGGAAAGTCAGCAACCATCAAGATCAATCTGCGTGAGGCAAAGCTGAAAGATTTTGATGTGGAAATGGACGTGTTTGTCACACCATATTTGGGGGAGTCGCAGACCTTGAATTGCGTGCCCCCTGAGAGTATCCCCTCTCCTGATGTGTACTGGGTCATCAAGGAGCAGAATGGCAGCTTTACACCCGTCAACTTTGATGCCAGAGTAACCATGGACCTTGAGTGTGAGTGTTGCGAGGACATCATGTTTAGTGCTACCATGAGTGTGAGTGTTGTGTGGACATCATGTTTAATGCTACCATGAGTGTGAGTGTTGTGTGGACATCATGTTTAGTGCTACCATGAGTGTGAGTGTTGTGTGGACATCATGTTTAGTGTTACCATGAGTGTGAATGTTGTGTGGAAATCAATTTTAGTGTTACCGTGAGTGTTGTGTGGACATCATGTTTAGTGTTACCTTGAGTGTGAGGGTTGTGTGTACATCATGTTTAGTGTTACCATGAGTGTGAATGTTGTGTGGACATCATGTTTAGTGTTACCATGAGTGTTGTGTGGACATCATGTTTAGTGTTACCATGAGTGTTGTGTGGACATCATGTTTAGTGTTTAGTGTTGAGACCATGTTTAGTGTGTGAGTGTTGTGTGGACATCATGTTTAGTGTTACCATGAGTTGTGTGGACATCATGTTTAGTGTTACTGTGAGTGTTGTGTGTGGACATCATGTTTAGTGTTACCATGAGTGTTGTGTGGACATCATGTTTAGTGTTACCATGAGTGTTGTGTGGACATCATGTTTAGTGTTACCGTGAGTGTTGTGTGGACATCATGTTTAGTGTTACCATGAGTGTTGTGTGGACATCATGTTTAGTGTTACCATGAGTGTGAGTGTTGTGTGTGACATCATGTTTTGAGTGTTGTGTGGACATCATGTTTAGTGTTACCATGAGAGTGTGAGTGTTGTGTGGACATCATGTTTAGTGTGTTAGTGTTTGTGTGGACATCATGTTTAGTGTTACCGTGAGTGTGAGTGTTGTGTGGACATCATGTTTTGAGTGTTGTGTGGTACATCATGTTTAGTGTTACCATGAGTGTGAGTGTTGTGTCGACATCATGTTTAGTGTTACCATGAGTGTGAATGTTGTGTGGACATCATGTTTAGTGTTACCATGAGTGTTGTGTGGACATCATGTTTAGTGTTACCATGAGTGTGAGTGTTGTGTGGACATCATGTTTAGTGTTACCATAAGGGTTGTGTGGACCTCATGTTTAGTGTTACTGTGAGTGTTGTGTGGACATCATGTTTAGTGTTACCTTGAGTGTTGTGTGGACATCATGTTTAGTGTTAGCATGAGTGTTGTGTGGACATCATGTTTAGTGTTACCGTGAGTGTTGTGTAGACATCATGTTTAGTGTTACCTTTAGTGTTGTGTGGACATCATGTTTAGTGTTACCGTGAGTGTGAGTGTTGTGTTGACATCATGTTAAGTGTTACCGTGAGTGTTGTGTAGACATCATGTTTAGTGTTACCATGAGTGTTGTGTGGACATCATGTTTAGTGTTACCGTGAGTGTGAGTGTTGTGTTAACATCATGTTTAGTGTTACCATGAGTGTTGTGTGGACATCATGTTTAGTGTTATCATGAGTGTGAGTGTTGTTTGTACATAATGTTTAGTGTTACCGTGAGTGTTGTGTTGACGTCATGTTTAGTGTTACCGTGAGTGTGAGTGTTGTGTGTACATAATGTTTAGTGTTACCGTGAGTGTTGTGTGGACGTCGTGTTTAGTGTGGATGTTGTGTTGGACATCATGTTTAGTGTTCTATCCTACTACAGAGCAATAAGCCTCCTGAGTATCCTCAGCAAAGTCTTCACGTACATCCTGATTCAGCAATTAGTATGTTGGGTTGATGTGCTGAGTAAAACTTCTGAGTGTCAATCAGGTTTTCGAAAAGGTTATTCAGTGGTTGACAATTGTTTTGTTCTGAATTCTATTATCGAGCGTTATCTTTCTCGCAAAGGTGGTAAATTCTATGTAGCTTTTGTTGATTTCTCGAAAGCTTTCGATTCTGTTCAAAGACAGTTTCTTTGGAAGTTCTTACATAAACACGGTCTGAGTCGTAAAATGGGTAAATTGTTAGAGTCTATTTATATTAGTGTGAAATCCTGTGTTCTTTCAAATAGTAGTTTATCTCGTGTATTTGATTGCCCGATGGGAGTCAGACAAGTGTGTATGCTCAGCCCCTTTTTGTTTCAGTTTTATATAAATGAATTAGTTAATGTAATTGAAAGTGAATGTCGGTTTGGTGTCCAGCTACATCCAGATGTTACTCATGTTTTCCTTCTTTTATTTGCGGATGACCTTATTTTGTTTGGGAACTGCGTGAGAAGTCTACAGTTTAAACTAGATATTCTTAGCAGGTACTGTTCAGAATGGAAATTGTCAGTCAATATGCATAAAACAAAAATTGTAGTTTTTAAGAAAGGAGGTGGTTTATCTCGGTTTGAAAAATGGTTTTATAATGGCAGTGTTGTTGAAGTTGTTTCAGGATATTGTTATCTCGGATTGTATTTTAGTAATGGGTTACAGTGGTCGTAAGCGTTTGACAGTATTTCTATTCAAGCCAGAAAAATGCTGTCATTACTTCTTAGTAGTATACATTGTTTGAAACCACACTCGCCTCATCTGTACTTCAAATTATTCGATACAAAGATAACACCAATTCTCCTCTATGGGGATGAAATTTGGGGGCTTAATAATATGGAAGTACTGAAAAAGTACATTTATATGCTTGCAAACGTTTTCTGAACGTTAAGTTATCAACGTCCAATAATGGAGTATTAGCCGAGTGTGGTAGATATCCTGTTCAATTATCAGCTGTTTTAAAATGTATGAAATATTGGTTAAATCTTATTAACATGCCCGAATGCCGTTTGCCTCGAAAATGTTACAATATGATGCGTATGTATGATGAGCAAGGTTATGAGAACTGGGTTACGAAAGTTAGAAATATCATATTTAAATTAGGTTTTGGTGATGTTTGGGTATCACACACTCACGGATATAAAAGCGTTTTTGTTGAAATGTTTTTCAACGACTGAAAGATAATTTTCGGCAAGTTTGGCACAGTGATTTATCTGAGAGCCCTAAAATGTTTGCGTATTGTAATTTTAAATTAACAATTTCTTGTGAAACATACTTAACTCATATTACTGTATCCAAATATAGATCTTGTTTATCACGATTTAGGTTAAGTTCCCGTAGTGTAGAAATTGAAAGAGGTCGTTACTATAACATTCCCCGGGAACAATGTAAATGCAAAATGTGTAATTTAAACGTAATTGAAAATGAATATCACTTCTTACTTAACTGTCCAGCCTACATTGAATTAAGACGTAAATATCTTTTGTTGCAATTCTATGCTTTCCCCAGTATACCAAAATTTAATTCGTTGTCATCATCCAAATATGAAGACATTTCCTTGAATACTGCTAAATATTTGTTTTATGCATTCGAAAAAAGTTTTTTTTGTCATATTAAGATTGTATATGTTATACATTCTTTCATTGTTATCATTACAGTTCATGTCTGCACCGATGAGGTGTTTTTGTACTCATAGGCCCATGGCTTCATAGTATTGGAAATAAAGATTTGAAGATAAGTGTTATCATGAGTGTGAGTGTTGTTTGGACATCATGTTTAGTTATCATGTTTGGATTTTTGTGTAGGCATCTTGTTTGAGGGATCATGACTTGATTGTGAAGGCATTTTATTTTAATGATCATGACTGGATTGTGAAGGCATCTAGTTTGAGGGGATCATGGAAAAGTGTGTAATGTAGCTTATCATTAACTCGTTTCCGAGTTTATTATTCTTGTGTGTTTCCTTTTATTGCTGTCTTCTGTGAGTTTTGATTTTCCTAGACAGTTTCAGATCAATCCTTAGCCATGTTAACAATGCTTTTTCTTGTGTTTCTTGACAGTATTACTATTAAACAGAAATTTAATATGTTTGATTTCCTGTGTTCTAGCTCGTCTACGTTTTACCAATGTCAAGGCTAGTGATGGTCAAGATGGAAAAGCTTATGCTTGTATGGCCATGAATGGAATTGTCCGCAAAAACACACAGGGAGCACGCCAGTTTATTAACCCCCGGGGATGTAAGTATTTCAGTTCTCTGGTGATTTCATGGATGATATAACCTTGTTCTTTGTCCCTGTGTTCATAGTGTTAGCAATTATTATTTATATTTTGGCAATGTTTGGTTTGCAGCTTCAGAAGTTCAGCGAGAAGTCACCTACATGTGGGCTTCCCCCTCTGATCATTATGGACTACGTGGAGATGAATTTAGGATCAAATGTATATTTGCTGGAAAGTAAGTCAAGCCTCAACCATTGTATGAAATTCTATTTTCTGTTCGAATAACGCTACCCCCACCATATATGGCTGGGGGCATATAGGGTTACCCTCCGTGTCCGTCCATCCGTACGAAACAGGGAATGTACTCTATCCACTTCTCCACAAATAACGCTCTGTAGAATTCAGTGAACTTATACATGGGCTTTCTTGGGACTCCAATGGTGTGCATCTGGTATTTTGTTTTTGTATTTTATTGTTTTTTTTGTAAATTTAGAGACATTTCAACTTCATACATTTTGCTGAATTTCTCTATGATGATAGTGTAATAGGGGATGAAGTCTATCCACTTCTCCACAAAAACTGCTCAACAAAATTGAATGAAGTTCTACATGTCTTTCGTAGGGACTCTAAAGGTGGGCATTTCATAATTTTCTTATGCAATTTCTTAATTTTGTCACTTTTACAGATGTTTGAACTTAGTTGAATTTTGTTCTATTCAGCCTGTTCGTTCCATCCAACAGGGGGTGTACGTTATCCGCTTCTCCTCTAAAACTCCTTTTTGGAATTCATTTAGATTACACATTTGCTTTATAGGGACTCTAAAGGCTTGCATCTCATATTTTGATTTTGTATTTTATTTATTTTTCCAAATTTTAATGTCGTTTGAACTTACATAAATTTTGTTGAATTTCTCTCTGAATATAGTGTAGTAGGGGGTGAAGTCTATTCACTTCTCCACAAAAGCTGCTCAACAGATTTAATTGAGCTTCTACGTGTGTTTCATTGGAACTCTAAAGGTGTGCATCTCATACCTTGTTTATCCAATTTCTTAATTTTGTCATTTCTACAGATGTTTGAACTTAGTTGAATTTGGTTCTATTCATCCTGTTCGTCCCATACAACAGGGGGTGTACATTATCCACTTCTCCTCAAAAACCACTGCACAAAACTCATTTAGCTTACACATGTCTTTTAAAGAGACTCTAAAGATGTGCATCTCATATTTTGTTTTTGTATTTTATATTTTTTTGTATGTTTAGAGACATTTGAACTTAGATAAATTTTGTTGAATTTCTCTCTGATGATAGTGAAATAGGGGATTAAGTCTATCCACTTCTCCACAAAAACTGCTCAACAGAATTGATTAAGCTTATACATGTGTTTCATTGGGACTCGAAAGGTGTGCCTCTCATAGTTGCATAGATGTTTATTGAATTGTTCGTGAATTTTTTTTCAATTATTGATCTTTATATGATAATAGGTTGTGACCTATCTAACCCCTCAACACATTGTTTTTCTTTCTTTTCAAGTACTTCAGTGGGACCCTGAATGTGTGAACTTTTCCTACAGCAGCTTGTTTGAAGGGGCATCCGTGTCCCTGGACACAACTTGCCTCGTTTTTCTTGTTTTGCACGCGTGAGATATGGTTATGATGATGATATCCCCCTATATAGACATCGTGTTGGAACCAGGTCGGATACAGATTTTGCAACTGCAAGTCTCCATGCTGATCTTGTTAAACAGTATAATCTACCAAAGTCAACTAAGCCATCAAGAATCAAGTCTATTCCTAAACCTACCAAGAAAACTTGTGCTAACGCGAAATCTGATACAAGTTTTCCAGGTATCCATTCAGAACTTGATAAATTGTTGGAGGCAACTAAGCCATCAAGTGTAAAAACAGGTACAAGTAGGACAAGTAAGGAATACAAAGACAAGTTAAAGTTAAACTTGAAAGTTGAAAGCTTTACATGCTAAACAAAAGGCACAGGTTGATATTCAGTTAGCTACACTCCACTGCAGCCCGAGCCCAACATGAAACTGAAATGGCAGATCTAGACGCAGAATTGCAGTATTGCAGAATATGGTCATGAGTTCTCAACACACAGGCATTAATTCAGAAAGTGACTCATCTAATAAATCTAAAGCTGTTCATTACTGGTTAGAAACACAAGTGAACCAATATTACGCACCACAAGACATGCAATCAGAAATGACAGAGGTTACAGATATGGAATCACAAAACTCCTGGATAGATGAACTGGTCATAGGCGAAGAAACACAACTTCAGTGGAAAAATACCCCAGTCACAGAACAGATTGCTCATGCACTGATAAAGGTTGAAAGCGACAGAGACCTACCAAGAGTTGACATTCCTAGGTTTAACGGAAGTGCTTTACAATGGCCCAAGTTCATTGAGCAATTCCATTATCAAATCCATTCAAGACCAGGAATCAATGACGCACGACGAATAGACATTCTACAATCTCACCTAGAAGGTGAGGCGAAACAGCTTGTCGAAGGTCTTGGGTACAGTGGTAGACAGTGTGCACTTCCTATGAAGGAACTTAAATGCTCACTTTCAAGAATTTGCCTGTTAGTGGTGTTATTTCAGACATCATCTGCATGAGAAGTTTTACCAGATCATTGCAGATTATTCTTCCATGCTGAAATAACTGTAACAAAAATGTATGCTTTCATATCATTAAACTTGCTGTATGTCTTCTGCAGGTTGGAGCCATCATTTATAAAGACTTTGACATTTTTTGAAAATACTTTGTTTATTATGAGTGGATAGTCAAGGACAGGTCAAGAACTGATGTCCTTGGACTAGAAGTTTGTATTCTATGACTTTAGAGGCTTTGAGCAAATGTTGGTTGAGGTGTTGCTTCTGTTTGTGTCAAGTTAGTATCAATACCAGTATATGCCACTTTCTACCAGTTCTGTATTGGGTTTTATTGGTTGTTTTCTGTAAAATCAGTGTGCATCGTAATTGTCAGCTGATTTGTTGCTGATACTTGTGTCATTCAAACATGTAAACAAAATAATGAGTCCATTTTTAATGAGCTAAACTCCACCCCCCGAAGGTATGCTCACAAATTCCTTCTTGTCACATGAGATGATGTTGAACAGCAAATTTGTTAGAGTGATAGAATTAATGATGTGACGGTCATCAGAGCAGCCCTGGAGGAGGAATGTTATGGATTGTTGTCTTTTCAGTCCCACACCAGATGTGCACTGGGAGCGGGTTGATGGCAAGTCTCTGCCTGACCACGTCAAACAGAGTAGCTTTGGGCAGGAACTTGTGTTTTCGAGTTTGGAGGATTCGGATGCTGGAGACTATGAATGTTGGGCTACTAATGATCAGACTCCACAGAGAGTTCAGAGAACCATGTCCATCAACGTGAAATGTAAGTAAAGCATATGCTCCAGATTTTCAATAAGTAGGTTCAGAAAGTCGAATGTAATGTCCCAAACTTCCCACAAGCAGGCCACAATAGTTGAATGTGTGTAAAATATTTGTTCTGCATTTTCTATAGCAGGTTAAATAGTTGAATGTAAGTAGAATATTCGATTTAGATATTTCCTAAGAATTGAAATACTGAATTTTTCCTTATCCTGACTCATGCTTATTTGCTTGTCTTCTTCCTCTTGCAAACATAGTGGAACACTTGTATCTCTTTATTGAAGCCCCATTCAATAAAAGCGTACGTAAAATCACTACTCACCAGAGTTATCTCTGTTTCCGGTTTTGGCGGGAAAAGTGGCGCCACTGTTTTCCCACACTTGACTCTCTCCTTCTTCGCCCTGTGAGCAGGTTGTGAGAGCGCCTGTGTCTCTTATACGGCACTATATCCTTTTATTACTTAGTTCGTCATCTCTGTTATACTATTATAGAGGTTTAGCTAGTATATTTCAACAATATGGTTTCATATTCAATCGTATTTAACACTGTTTATTCACGGGTTAGGCCGTGTTTGTTCAGTTGTTTACGTTCATGAAAAATTGTTCCAATGGTAGATTACGTTTCTCTGCTGCTGACCCTCATCTATTGTGCCCTAGCTGCACGGTACCATGTTCTTTCAGTGCCCGCTGCATTAATTGCAAGCATTTAACTACTTGTGCATTTAATAAATACCTACTTTCAGTCCTTAGACGTGCGGCAGATAGGTCTAGACGGGTTGGTCCAGTCATGGATAAATCAGCGGAGTCCCACACCAGTCAACTGCTGTCCGACGACCCCCTCCCGTCTGGTGTTATGCTAAAGGAGTTTCCCGCGAAGGAGAGGCGTGGGACGAAGTCCGCCACCTCCAAAAAGAGACCTGCAACCCCGGACATCCCATCGTCTCAGCCCAAGACTCGGAAGTCGTCAACCACCCAGCGCAGACTCCGCACCCCCAGGGCATCATCCACCACCACGGGGAAGTCAGCGCAGGCAACACAGACTTTCTCAGCCGAGATTGTCCCGTTGACGGAACACGGACTCTACGATGATCAACCCATCATCATCCCAGAGGTCCATCCAAAGAAAAGACCAGTCTCGGCTACGGTGACTTCAGCGCAGATCTCCACGCAACCCGAGGTATCTACGCTGACAACAGATGAGCGTCCTGTGGGACACGTTGCTACAGATAGGGCAGCGCTACTACCAACGCAGACCTTCAACCCGGGGGACTTTGTGCAGCAATTATCCCAACAGATCATGGAGATGATTGAGCAGCGTTATGGCCTGGAGAAAAAGTCACAATCAGCCCAGATAGAGGTCCCGAGCCTTCGTGAAGGCTCCAACGCAGATGTCGTCTCTGAGGGGCCCCCCATCAACGTGACATCTGGCAGCAGATCTACACTGCACCAGCCTGCGCGAAGGTCGACTCCACCATCCCCTGCGAAGGAATCGGACGATCAGCATCCGCAAAGGCATTCGCGAAGGACGACTCGGTCATCACCTACTACGGATTCGGACGATCAACGTTCGCGAAGGAAGAATCATCGATCTCCGGATGCAGAATCGGACGACCAGCGTTCGCGCAGGCGTTCGCGAAGGACCAGTCGCCATTCCACAGATGCGGAATCAGATAATCAGCGTTCGTGAAGGACTTCAGTATCCAAGACATCTTCCGCATCACGCAAATCGTCCAGGGATTCACCGAGACATTCGCGAACCCACAGGAGCTCATCTCCGCACAAGTCACCCTATAGACGCAGTTCGCCAGGCCACTCCCACTCCGATCTCCTCGACGATCTCCACGCAGATCTCCACGCAGATCTCCGTGCAGGGCTCTGCGCAGGTCTCCACGAAGGTTGCCACACAAGTCTCCGCGCAGGTCTCCGCGCAACTCTCCACCCAGGTCAACAAGGTCGACAAGGTCTCCTCGCCTCCTGCAGTTGGAGTGACCACTTTACTAAGCCACTCTACACAGCCCCGTGGTCAACGCCTTCCATCTTCAATGGAGGAATCGACGTGGTTGCCAAGGAAGTTACCAAAGACTCAAGGGAGGTCCTTATGATTAAGTCCATAGATACTCTGGCCAGCGTCATCAGGCAAACATCCCAGCACTACTCGGGCAGGTCCAAGTTTCCTTGGATGCAGAGAGCACGGAACAAGAAAGTGGGTAGCTCCAGAGGCGGAAAAAATTCCTTTCGGCGCCCAACCGGCAATTACAGAGCAAGGTCTGGACGAGGCACCAAGGATTATCGACGATGAAAGAAGGGTTTGGAACGACTGGAGTCTTCAACCCCCAGCCGTTCCTGTACAACCTTCACAAGTGGGTGGACGCCTTCAGCTACACTGGGAAAACTGGGGATTACTTCAAGATCAGTTTGTGCCCAACATCCTAAGAAACGGATATCGCATACAACTAAAGGCCGCTCAACCGCTTACAGTCGATCCTCACAAGTTCGACTTCAAGACTCATCAGATAGAGATGTTACGAGAGGCAGTCACATCTCTACTAGTAAAGCGAGCCATAGAGGTTGTAGATCAAACCAACATCACGCCAGGTTTCTACTCCCCAGTTTTCCTATTGCCCAAGAAAAACTCCAAAGAAAAGTTCCAACTCATATACAATATGAGCATGTTCAACATAGACTATCTGAGCAGACCTCCAAAGTTCCGCATGATACATCTACCTCAACTATTCCACCTCGGCCGTCCGATGGACTACATGGTCAGCATAGATCTACAGGAAGCATACCTTCATATTCCTGTACATCCAGACTCGAGGAAGTACCTCAGGTTTACACTGGACGGGCTACATTACCAATGGAAGGTCCTGCCATTTGGAATATCATCGGCCCCTTGGTTGTTTACAAGGGTGACGAAACCCATAGTCATATATCTACATCGTCGAGGTCTACGCAGTGCCTTTTACCTCGACGACGGGATTCAAGTACATTAAGATCCCAAGCATCTCAGACTACAGTTGAACTTTACCATCAAACTACTTACACAGTTGGGATGGTTAGTGAATCTACTCAAGTCGGACCTAGAACCTACGCAGGACCTGCAGTTCCTAGGCATCAGATTTCTCACGACGCAGAACCGCATCGTCGTACCAGAGGACCGATGGCTCAAGATTCAACAGACAATCCCACAAGCACTACTCTCTCCGTGGCCACTACGACAGTGGCAGAGTCTGTTGGGTCTCCTCACGTCTGCTCAAGACATGACAGCCAGAGGGAAATTACAGCTATGGTCGTTACAGATCCTCATCAATGCTCATCTTGACGACCCAGACCCCTTCGGTCTCCCGAACTATCTCAGACCTCATCTATTATGGTGGACTCAGAGAGCGAATGTCTGCGAGGGCGTCTATTTAGCAGAGCCGGAGTGCAAGACTCATCTGTATGCGGACTCTTCACTCCAAGGTTGGGGAGCACATCTCGACAACGATGTGGCAGCCGGGAAATGGACAAAGGAAGAGAAATGTCTGCACATCAACATGCTGGAAATGAAGGCAGTCATCAACGCCATACTCCATTGGAGCAACATTCTACAGAATGCGCATCTCATGGTACACACGGACAACTCAACAGTGGCGTTTTACATAAACAAGCAAGGATCAACACGATCATTGAACCTGCTAGACCTCTGCTTTCAACTGTTCAACCTAATCGACGATCTGAACATCCACATAAGAGCATGTCACATTCCAGGAGCCACTCTCCCGTCCAACTCAACCATCTCCAACGGAATGGATGCTACATCCCCAGATCTTCAAACAGATCATCATGGAGATGGGAGTTCCACTAATAGACCTATTCGCCACATGTTTCAACAATCAGCTGACAACATTCGTCTCGCCAGTCCCAGATCCACGAGCGTGGGCAACGGACGCTCTCAGCATATCCTGGGAAGGACGAAACGCGTACGCGTTTCCAACGCCAGCGCTACTACCGAGGCTGTTGCAAAAAATCAGCCAGACCAGGAACCTCCAACTGATTTTGGTCGCGCCCTACTGGCCTGCGAGAATGTGGTCCCATTCTCATACAAGAACTATGACCACCACAACTGCAACTACCAGAGTGGTCGAATCTACTGCGTACATC